GGAACATGCTCCATGGAGCTGCTTCTCTGTTCCGAGAAGGCAAAGCAAGTGCCTCAGTCCTGCAGGGAACCCAGAGGCAAGTGAAAACAGGCCCCATTCTGTTCCTTCTGGGACAGTGTGCCCACCCCAAGCATACAAACTGTTGTACCCCAGACAGCTGCTGTGCCAGGAGGGATACGGAGCAAGGTGTACAGGAGAACAGCACACAGCTCTCCCTCCGTTTCTGTGACCTTGCTCCTGGTTAATTATCCATCTGGTTGCCGTACACCTTTGACCATCTCCCAGAGTTCTAGTATGTTCATTCTGTATTTTTGCCAGGTTTTTTTGGGGGGCGGTGGTGGTGGAACAGTGTTTTTTAAGGACCCATCATCTCCAAGTCAAGTAGTTGTTTCAATCTAGTTGTGGAGGGCGCAGCTCAGTGGCCCATGTGGGAATCGAACTGGCAACCTTGGTGTTATGAGCATGAGCTCTAACCCACTGAGCTAACCGGCCGCCCCCTGCTAGGTTTTTTGATAGTTCTGGTGACGGATGGACTGTTAGAGGTCTCTACTCTGCCCTTTTCACTGTTGGGGACATACTCCATGGGTTCAGTTGGGGACATACTAAGTGGGGGGCCTGTAGGACACCAAATGTGGGCAGGGTTATAAACTTGAGGCCAGAGACCTGTCTGTTATGTTTCCCATTGGATCCCCGGCACTTAAAACTCCATGGCACACAGAGGGCACCCAACAAGTTTTTGTTGAGTGAATGGAACTTTTCAATAGACATTTGAAAATAGGAACCTTAAACTTGACTTCAGTGTATGGCCTAGACAGAGGGATTTTTGCATCATCAGGGTATAGATGGTAATTGAAGCCATTGATGAAAAAGAACTTGTTTTCAAATTACATTAGTAATAAATAAATTCCTTTTTAGGACAAAGCAAAATTACTTTTGCCACCTGCCTCCCTCAGGTTAACGACTGGCCCTGTGTTCTCTTTCAGACCATTTACTATCTATTTTTACTATATATGTATATGATTAAAATTTTATATATGAAGATCCGACAATTAAGTTCGCGAACTTAATTGTCCATTCTTTCATATATACATATA